GGCAGGATCCCAGCGGCCTACGCCAGGAGTAGCCCCATGGGGTCGGCACTGTATCCATCCCTGTTCGGGGATTCTCCGCGATGTAGTCGTCATCGGTCAGCTGATATAGCCAAGGCGGGTCATGTACGTATCCCGCCTCTGCGGGCCTGTCGCCCTCTATCCGGCAACGAAGCAAGTGCTCTATCCCGGCGGTCGCCCCTCTCGTAGCTGTTGAGAGGCCAGTTGGCCCGCGGGTTGTATATCCAGGTCTGGTCGACCATGCCGCCGTCCGGACCCCAAGGTCGCCCTTTGGCTTGACTAGCCGTCGGCGGGGGGGCGCCATTAGCCGATGCACGCTCTTCCCGGATCAGTTGCGGGGTCGGCCTATCCAAGTTGATGTTAGCCGCGGCACCCGGCTGGAGTGCCGCTCTCTCCGGAGCTAGCCGGCCGTCTTCGGCCATAGCCTCCCACTGGGCCTCGTTGTAGCGGCCCGCTCCTAGCCGTCTATCCACCGGATGGTCGGACTCCGGGTGGATATAGCCTTCCTTGCCCTTCCCCTTCGACTCGCTCTTAGCCTGAAAACGGATAGCCGGGAAGGGATCGTAGCCTTTCTCGCCTGCGCCCGGGGGCCGGCGCCGTGGTCTATCCTCTGTCTTCTCCGGCTCGTTCGAGTCTAGCTCTCATCTGCTCCATCCTAGCCACATAGGCAGGGACACCGCCCGGTGCCTCCCGGTAGCCTTGCATGCATCTAGCCAAGAAGATCTTCATGCTCTCGCCGGGCCGCGGATATTCCGTGCCAGCCCTAGCCTGTGCCAGGCCCGGGTTGTCGCCCTGGGCCGGGTCTATCCCCGCGGAGAACGGCTGCGTGGTAGCCGCCGCGTCTGTAGCCGGGCTCTTCTCCATCTTCTTGTTCTTAGACCGTGGGAGGGTCCCTAAGCGGCTTGGTGGGCTTGCCAAAAGCCTCGCCCGGTGTGGGGTCCCTCGCCCGGTGGCTAGCCCCTGTGCTGGCCTCCTCTGACCCCTTGGGCTGGGTCTCCTCTTGCCTAGCCGCAGCGGAGCTCTCTCTCCATCTGCTGCATCATCTCCTGCAGCATATCCAGCTTGCCCTGGCTGGGACCGAGGTCGCTAGCCGCCGCCGTCTGCGGGTGGCCAGCCTCGGCAGTCTTTTGCGTCCAGGGCGTAGTCTGCAGGTACTAGGATTCTTCCTCTAGCCTTTAGCGTGGTCGGTGCGGGCGTAGCCCCGCTAGCTGGCGGTTCTTGGCTATCCGCCCTTCCAGGTACTGGGCCTCTGTCCGCGAGAGGCTAGCCTCTAGCCCCAGATCATCCCAGGACGTAGCACTTTGGTACTGGACTATCCTGTTGGTGAGCCTGCCTGCAGGCCGGATGCTAGCTCCCTCCTGGTGCTCTGCTAGCCGTGCATCCCTAGCCAAACGAGAAACGAGCTAGCTGCAGTAGCTTAGCCTCTCATATAGCTGTTCTGCCAAGCTCTAGCCACTCGTCTGGCTGTTGGAGAATCTCTATCCTCTGGGCTAGCACACTAGCCTGCTCCGACTGATCGGCCCAGTTGGCCGATCTATCCATGGGCCGCTAGCCGGCCACGAGGGCGCAAGGGCTCGCCCCTAGGTGGGCTCTCCTCAAACTTGCTTCTTTCTCCCCCCAAGACCCACGTTTTTCAAGGGATGGGAAGGAAAGAGTGTATCCCGAGAGGCCCCCCCAGAAGTATCCCCGCGTTCTCCCCGGCCCCGCTCTTTCCCCCGCACGCTATCCGCTCAGTTTGAAAACTGCTGAATCGGGAAATGGGGTACTATCCCTGGGGGTACTCCCGACGGCTCTGCCGCCAGGACCCCTTCCGAAGCTTCCACCGGTGTCGCTGTCACTAGAAGGGCCCCAGACGGGGGCCCTTCTCCTTGGCCCTTCGGCCAGCATAGCCGGCAAACGTGAGTGTACTGATCGGGCTCCGGTCTAGCCGAAAATTCTTGGCAATTCTTAAATATCCGGCGACGGCCCATCCAGCACCCGGCCAGGCCCCCCTTGTAGCCGAAACTTCTTACCGGGAAGCTCTACTATGATATAGCTGGTACACCTAGCCCTCTTAAGTAGCTGCCTCGGCCGGTTCCGGTGCGGCTCCGGTCCCAGCTCCGGCTCACTGGCCGATTCTTCAGGTCTATCTTCGGGAGGGTCGCAGGTAGCCCAGGGTTAGCCACCAGCTCCACGATGCGCTCGCTAGCCCATTCTCGCCGCAGTTCCCCAGCTAGCTTGTCGGCGTCGTGCTCGGTAGCCTTGCCTGTCCGGAAAAGCCATCCGCCAAGGTCACCCGCAATCTCTCTCTCGTCTAACTGCTCCTCCCTGTCTTGTGCCCTAGCTGCCTCTGCGTAGATGGCTTGGAGTCTAGCCACCCGGCCGCCGTAGGAGCGGATATAGGTATCCGACCCCTCTGGCTTCCATCTCCCCAGCATGTCTCTATCCGCTGGCGGAATCGGCTTCAGGCTCAAGCCTCTGGGTAGCACTGCTCTCTCGCTGTGCTCCGACCAGTAGCCCCTAGCTATCGCAGGTATCCCCACCATAGCCAGTAGCCCGGCCGTCGCCATAGCATCGGCGTAGGTAGCCATCTTCTTTTCCAGGGAACCCTTATCCCCAAGCCGCGGCATCAGGTAGTCCCGCTGATAGCCCGCGTGGTTCTTCAGCAGGTTGAAGCCAACCAATAGCCAAGCTGGGTCCTCGAATAAGTAGGCCCTCTCCGAGATGCATACGGGTAGCTCACGGATGCGTCGGTTAGCCCCGGTGGTTTTTGTTCTTTTCAGGATGGTCGATAGCCGACCTTCCACCATCGCCAATTCATTCGGGATCATAGCCTGGAGATCTGACCACCGGAGGCTCCCCCAGGCCTTCAGGAGCTTAGCCCAGGCCCAAACTCTCCAGCCCACTGCAACGCTCGCGTCGAGGACTAGCCTTTCCCATCTGACCAGGATAGACGCCGGGTACCTCGGTGCTCTCCGCATCCACGGTGCCTTCCACGATAGCCTTTCAACCACCGTATCCTTGATGGCCCAGGCAATTCTTCCATGAGTAGCCCTAGCCTCGGTAGACCACTCCGCCACGCGCTCTATCCAGCAAATCGCCTTGAGGATAGCCTCTGGCACGGTTCTGCCGCAGGGTTCATCTCCTCTCGCGATGATATAGTCTGCCAGGTCTGCCGGTAGCCCTGGAGGACGGCCGTCCTTAGCCTCGCGTAGCCATAAGCGCCACCTTACGTGGATGGACAGGTAGCGCTTCAATGTGCTAGCCCGGGTTTTTCCCGCCAGCGCCAGGATAGCCCTATCCGGATCCAGGCTTCCCTCCAAGACTGGGGCACCGCAAAGCTCTAGCTCCTCTTTCAACTTTATAGCCCAGGTAGCCTGTAGCCGTTCTTCCCTCGCCTGAGCCAGGGAGCCCTCGTTGACCAGGCGCCTCTGTCTGTCTCCTTTCGGAGGCTCCGGCTCGCTATCTTCCTGAAGGTCTATCCCTTCAATCGCCGGTCGCTTGCAGAGGTTCATCCAGGCCAGCGATGCGGCCTGGTATCCCGAGGTCCTTTCCACGAGGTCTCTAGCCTCCCGGGCCTCCTGTATCCACAGGTAGATCGAGTCGCCAATGTACTCGTCATAGCCCACTCCGAGTTCCTCTGCCACCTGGTGGCCTACCTCTTCCGCGTCCTTTAGGTCTAGGGTAGCCAGCTCGAGTACACCGAAGCCCCGCGATGCCAGATGCTCGTGGCATCTATCCAGCACCGCACGTCTCTGTACAAGAGCGCTATCCATCAAGGACGGAAGAGCAGGGGGACTCCCTATCCCACCGGGGGGAGACACCTGTTCCGCGCCCTGCACGTCCGGCGAAGCCGTAGGCAGGGCGGTCGGACTTCCCGGCACCTCGCCCTCGGGACTAGCCGGAATCACCGTGGTAGCCGGTGACGGAGGACTCGCCGTGTGCGAAGCAGAAGGGGAGCGAGGAGAGGCTGCCATTCTCGCTTGGCTAGATAGCCAAGTTCCCCTTCTCTCCCCTCTACTTCAAATTTACCCCCCTGATGGGGGACTTTATCCAGAATGGCCACGGTCATAAATGCTTGTAGCCATTCTAAGTCACAGCTATCCTGTCTTCGCATGTCAGACGCAACTCTCCTGCGAACGACGATAGCGGTCGAAACTCCGTTTCTAGCGAAGCTACCTTCAATAGCTTCGGGAGTAAATAGGTTAGCTAGCACACATAGTCGTAACTCGTTCCTCGTCACGAGGTACATCTTCGTTCGGTCTGCGGACAAAACCGTGAATGGTTCCGTGTAAAGAAAGATTTGCGTTTGCGATGTAAGCCGACAAACCCCTTTGCATTGCTTTTTGCCAAGTTCGCGCGGCAAAGTTCCTACCTTTTCCTGTGTGGCAGCCAACCGATCTGTATACCAACTTGTTTTGCGCTTCTTCCACAGACGTCTACAGCAGAGGCCACATATCCTGTCTCGCAAAACGCCAATGTTGCTTGTTTTTTCCGTGCGTGGTTGCTGCCGCAGCAAGATCCTGTGGATCTTCGTTCGGTCTGCGGACAAAATCGTGAATGGTTCCGTGTAAAGAAAGATTTGCGTTTGCGATGTAAGCCGACAAACCCCTTTGCGTTGCTTTTAATCGAAATAAGGATGTAGTCAGAAAGACGGTATCCAGCAATGAACCCTCGCACGAGTGAGACTTTTTGCTTTACTCTGCTAAAGGGTGCTTGAGCCAAACGGTTTTCGTTTAGCAAACGTTCACTGCCAGACGTGCCCTACTCTCTACGGCAACTTCTGTTACATGTGAGAAGCAGATAGACAAGCTCATGAACACATGCACTCATGGAACGAGGGAGTCTACCTAGAAGAGTCTCCTCGGAGCGTTGCCGCTTCTCGAGGAAACCACCTGGCATCAAAAGTACAACAGGCCAGTTTAGCCCATTATTCTTCTACTCCCCCTTCTCACGAGGTGCATGAGGCTCCTAATTAGGTGAAACGGTCATGGAGGAGCGAATCAAAGCCGCTGCATCTTCAAAAGTTGGAGCGCTGCGGGAAACTTGACCGGCGGAAGGGCCTTCGTGAAGATGTCTGCACACTGTTTGTCTGTGGCTATGTAGCCAAGGTTGGTATGCGGGTCTTCGAAGACCTCGTACAGTGAGGAAAGATTTATCCGATGAGTTTTGCTCACGTGTCTCAGCTTTGCGCTATATCCGCTCTGCACTATCTGAATCACGGCAGAATTATCCTGGTAACAGTAAAGGTCAACTTCGCGTTTGAACACGAGTTCTGCCAGTTCCTGCATAGGCATTGCTTCGCCAAAAAGGCCAGAGGCAAGCGAGATTATTTCTGCTTCTGTCGTGCTCCGTGACGTTGCCGTCTGCTTCTTGCTCGCCCAAGAAAGGGGCCACCATGAGTTAGGGCCCTCCAGGACAAGAAGTGACCCCGATGTGCTTTTGGCGTGCTCTATCTCTGATGAATGATCCGCATCAGTATAGAGACCCAACCTTAGGTCATCCATACTGTCGGCGATTTTACATGTCAGACTGAGCTTTGGGGTGTAATGCAGGTAACACATTAGCTTGTACAGCTTCTTGTCATCTGCAAGACTCCAGCAGGTCACTTTCCGCGTCAAGTCTGATATGGGCTTCATCAAATCTGGTCTTGCCAAACGTGCACACCACAGGATTTTCATCAGGATTTTGCTGGCAGCTTCCGCTAGAAGTCCTTTCTCTTCGAAGTCAGAAACCGGAATGTTTGAGTCGAAGGGCGTAGCCGCCGCTTTCAACTTCCTCCCGGACAACTGTTCGTAGAGTTCGCAGCAATTCTGGCAAAAATCACTCATGTCATGTTGGAGGGTGGTAGAATCAGCATCATGGGAGAGCAAGTGCTTCCTTCCCAAGACCCTGTCCACTGGAGATGGTTCTTCAATCTCCAAGTGCTTTTGCAGCAGGTCCCAAAACCGAGCGTGATTCTTAGCAGGACCGCTAAGCAGGATATCATCTACGTAAAGGCTGAGAAGCAGACCTAACTCTTCAAACCAGTACGTGGATTGCTGATTGTCCACATGTTTTCCTCCTAACATATGCATGATTTGTTTAAACCTGTAGTCCCAATGGTATCCGGATTCTGGGTGTCCGTACAAGGACTTCTGCAAACGAACGCATGGTCGTCTGACCCCCTTGAACTCCGGTGGGGTGAGCTCTGGTGGGAGCTCAACCCAAGTGGGAACTTTGGTCTGAAGATACGACTGCGTGTATGCTCTCACTACGTCAGATTGAGTAGTTTTGTGTCCCTTTAGGGCGCCGTATGCAAGGTTGAAGTTTATGCCCGTTAGGCCTGACGGATTCACCTTCAATTCCTGAAGTACGGCCAGGTTGTTGTTTTCGTCTCTTATATCGTCACCTCTAAACACGATTCTAGCTTTCAGTTTGCGAAGTTCTGGGGTCTCCCAATGCTTGATGGATAAGATTGTCATTACGCGGCCGATGTTTAGTGGAGTCTTGCTCCTCATCAGTTCCTCACGCGAAACAACCTCGTCGTACGACCAGGTGTCGTTTGACAAGAGCCCGGAGGCTTCTTTGTCAATTGCTTCCTGAGCGCCTGGATGTTTGTGCCAATCCTTCCTATCGATAAGCATATGAACTCCTGCTAAAATCTTTTCCTGTTCTGAAGAGAGCTCGTTGGGAAAATGCTCTGCAGTAGCTGCGGGTGCGGGTACAGTAGGCATGCAAGGAACATGGGCATCCAGCTTGTGACTATACAAGCTTTGTGCTATGCATCTGGCCATGCTTTCTGGGTAGAGGGCAGAGCTAGAAGCTATCTTGCCCGAGATCTCTGCATGCTTGAAACCTGACTCGTGGCAGCAGCGCTTTGCAGACAAGTTTTGTGCAAGCTTGAAGGAAGACGTAACTATTCTCCAAGACTTCTTCAACGGCTCTCCAAGGTGATTTTCCATGCCGAAAGCGCAGCCTTCTGTAATCACTTCATACAGACCGTGACGGGCTATGAATTCCAATAGCAATGGTGTTTTCCAACCACTACAGTTCTTAGGCCACTCAAAGCTAACCGTACCCCCTTGACTTAGGACTTGCTCTGCAACCTTGATGAAGTTTTTCAACATTCTGATGCTTAAGCGCCTTTGGCCGTTCAGCTTCTTTCTGGAGCCGGGCTTGTCAAGGTTTTGGCTAGCGTGCTGCAAACACTTCCAAGGGGAGTTAGGAACGCTGCCCCAAAGGTCACAACCTGGAAACTGAGCAACAAGCTCTCGCAATGATTCGCCGTGAACTGGGTCTGCCATGTTTGAATTCTTTGCCGTTATTCTGAAGTGATTGATGCCTAAATTCTCGTTCACTTGACCTAGCATGGATTTTGGGTCGCAGCAGAACTCGAACATCGTTTCCGAACCATTTCCCTTCGAAACACTCTTTCTTGGTGGTGCCTTTTGAGCGGCATCGCACACCTGTTGAGAAAGGGCCTTCAAAGCGTCTGGGTCCTCGGAAACGGACGACATGCAGTGAACAATCGAAGCGACAGCGTCGATACCTTTTGGTAGAGGCTTCAAGCGCTTCTGCTGGTCTGCGGCGTTCGAGATGGCTGCTCTAAGCTCCGCTTCTTCGGGTCTCAGCGGTTGTTTGGGGAAAAACCAAGTCACACCAGTCCAGCTTTTTGAGGAGATTCTACGGTTTGGACTGCCCTTTTGCCAATTGTCTTCGTAGACAGAAACTTTCCCCCTACATTTCCACTGCGTCTCACGGCCTTCTGAAACCGTGTACATGTCAAAAGGGGGGTGTTTGGTCATTGGCGTAAACAGTCGTTTCCGAGGCCGAACGTGTACTCTTTTCCACGCCCCTTTTTGTTGATCGAAAGACCAATAATCATGCTCATCTTGATTGGAACCGGAGCCTGCGGCTTCTCGGACCTGATCTGTCGGCAGATGTTTCTGGGCTGTTCGAGCAAAGGGTGCGGCAGGAATCGCATCTCCTTCAGCTGCAGGTGGCTTTTCATCCCTCTTTTCTTTGGCCTTTCTTTCCTCCTCTAAGAGCTTGGCCTTTCGTTCGTCTTCCAGAAGCTTGGCGAAACGGTCGTGACATGCATCCGAGTGCTTCACGCCTTCTGCTATGCGATCACATCCTCTACAACCCATCGTCTTGCCAAATCTGATCGCCCTTTCTAAAGTTACGTATGTTCTACGCTTTCTCACTTCAGGGTCTGGAGCCCCCTTTTCGAATGGAAGGCTCTCACCAGGTTCGATCTTTGGCAACGAAGGCTCTGGGCTTAAAGACGTGAGCTTCAAAGCATTGGCTTCGTAGAGCGGAAAGACAAAAGAATCAGGGACCACTAACTCTTTTTCGTGAACTTGGATTGGTCTCCCACAACCTTTCTGATTTGTTCGGAGACTTTCATAATCAAGCACGAGGTGGATGCCCCTGAAACGGAAGCCATGGTCGATGCGCCAACCACAGAAAATGCCTGGGAGCGTTCTGGGATCAAAAGGAGGAAGATCTTTGTGCTTTGCAGGTTTGTAGTACACCAAGGCGCCCAAAGGAACTTTAAGCCCTTCAAAAGCATCCCCCTTGTTACCCACTGCATAGCAAGTCTTCCCCTTTTTGAAGGCTTCGGACTCTTCCGTTTCGTTCGGGTGAACAGGAGCCTCTGTCGTGAACGCTTTCGCCGTGCAAAAGTATTCTACCGAGCGCGGCCACAGGGCATGAGGAAATCCAGCTCTAAGGTGGACCGAACGTGTTCCTTCCTTTATGCTCCTAATGGCCCTTTCGAGCTTCGCATTATGAAAAGCGTCGTTCGGAATACCCGGACTAGGTAACCACCCCAACTCCTTTACCGCGTCGGTCAACTCCGGGGCACAGTCGGACGTCACTTGGCAGAGGGCTTTGCCATGCGCTCGCGTCCCGCCGAAGTGCCGCAAACAGGCAACGTTCGACTGAGTCGTACGGCGCGTCTGTGGATAAGCACCTAAGCAACCGCTAAACTCATCAAAGCAAATCAGACATGCCTGTTCACCTTCCGAACCCTTTGAAAGCTCATCACTTATAATGATGTGGTCCGCGCGAAGCTTGTGTCCGAAATGCAAAGGAGGGGTCTCTTCAGGGTCCACCTCTCCATGATGATAGCGGTGGGATCTGGAGGTCATCTTTGCCCTCCTGCATATGTCACAATACCTGTTTTTCGGAAAGTGTGTGATTTGATGTTCCGGGGACTTAGCTATGGCCTGCAACTTTTCCCTTAAGGAAGGAGTCCACGGATAAGCCTCCGCATCTTCTTCGTCCAACGGCTCGTCTTCTGGGATCTTTTCGGGTGCAACGCACTCCTCAAGCTCATCACCGTCTCCAAAATGGGCAACGGGAGCTCCTCTTGAAGATCCGTCTGGGCTTGCATCAGGGGGGCGAGTACCGCCTCTCCCTTTAGCGATTCTTCGTAACGCTACCGGTGCAGGATCACTTGAGGAACTGGCGGGCTCAAACGGTCCTGCGAAAGTCCCCGTGGTTTCTGCTTTTGCGGAAGCGGGCAAGCCTGAGCATGTTATTGATTCCTTCAGGATTGGGACGTTCTGCACAACCTTATCCGCATAGATCTTTGCATTTTCGGGGCAGTGGAACGTAACGTCCTGAAGGCACTCAGGCTTGATGAAGAACGGCATTTGATCTGGGAACCAAATCCAAGCTCTTTTGTGCTCGTTTACTTGAATCCCCAAACTTAGCGCCGGCGGGCAGTCCTTGAGGGCGTAAAACAAATTGTTTCCCGTGATTGACCCGTGTATCCTAATCGCATCGGGTCCTGACCTAACCCCTCCACCTGTTGAAAACTTCAACTTTTCCGGTGCTGTCTCAAACAATCCTTGAGCCTCTTCCGGCAAACTTGACTTTGAGATGAGGTTCCGGCCGGCACCTGAGTCAATCAAGTACTCCATGTCCGAAGTTTTCGGCACCAGGTCACCCAACAGTCCAGCACAAGCAGGAGGATTCGACAAAGGAGAGAAGCAAGAAGTTGCAGCCATCATTGTTGTGAAGAATCTGGTGAACGAAACACCTCTGGGGATGAACGTCCGCGCATCACGGAAAGCGGTAGACTTGCAACGCCCTTTAAGGTTGGCTCGTTTGGTTGGATTACCCCTGCGAGCCGGGGCATCGGATGCCTCACGGCCTAGCGCACACATCCCATCATCGACCTTGCTGACTGGTGCGTTCGACGCATCACAATCAGAAAGTGAAAGTGTCTGGGCGGAAGACGTGGGCAAGGAGCCAATGGCAACGGCTGCACCTGCCATCACGGACGCTACACCGGCTGATGTGGTTTTGACTCCTCGGGGTCGCGGGCCATCATACAGTCGGTTCTTATCATGCAGGTATTCGCACTTGTCGCCTGCTTTGCAGCAGTTGTATGCGTAATACATGCACGGTAGCTGTGCCTTTTCCTCTTTTGTTTTGGGTGTTCTTGGGGATTTCCCTTTGCCTTTACCTTTCGGCGGCGCTGGTGATGCGGGCGTTTCCGCCTCTGCATTTGCTCGCGCTTCCTTCTGCTTCTTCTCCTCTTGCTTTCGTTTCTCTTTTTCTTTCTTCTCGCGTTGTTGTTTTTCTTTGTTTTTCTCTTTCTCCTTTTCCTTCTCCTTGTCCTTCTTTTCCTTTTCCTTCTGTGAGTCCTCTTGTTTCCTGGTGAGATTTGGGGCGGCATTGACTCTAGCATTACTTGAAAGCGCTTTGTCGATAGCCATGGTGTTTTCGTCCAGTTGCGAAATCTCTATCACTTCACACATTTTCTGGTACAACCACCTCCATGTTCTTTTACTGGAGTTTGCGCTGGAATTACGGTACCGATCAATGTGCAGTGACATCTTTGGGTGATTTTTCAACTGCTCATACATGAGACTGCGGATCCCAACATCCGTAGGGCGTTCATCGACCTCCAATGCCTCCAGTATGTAGTTGAACTTCTGACGAAACTCATCAAGACCTTTGGCGTCACTCCCGGAGACGGTAAGCGACAACAAGTGATGCTGGGTAAGCGACGTGCCCCGATCTTTCTCCAATCGAAACTTTTGCAAAACCACCCACACTAAATGCCTGCCTTTGGGCTGCTTCCCCTTCTTCTGTGCACTTTCTTGGAGCGTCTGGAAATCCAGGGAGAACTTTGTGCCCTTAGCAAGCTCAAGCATGCGATGACCCAAGATTCGATCAAGGAGTGGGTAATCACCAGAATCCTCGAAGACTTTGGGATTTTCCGCCTTCAAACATCTAGACATCCATTCTAGGATCGGGGTCTCATCACCTTTCGCAAGCTTTGCAACGCTGCTGAACAGCTGATTTTTGAAACCCCTGGCTTCGGCGGCACCCTTCGGGAAATGCGAAACCTTGAAAGAGTTGTAATCCTTAACTCTCATAAGTTTCTTCTCCTTCTTATAGATAGCCTCAACCGAAACTATGCTGGAAGACGAACTCGAAGAGGAAGAATCCGAACCCTTCTCCCTTTTGTCCTTGTTTGACCCCTCGGCGCTTGAGCTAGAGGAAGAACTTGAAGGAGGATCCGAAGGAGGATCTAAACCCACTAATCCCTTTGCAGTACTCTTAAGACGCTTTTCTGATTGAGGGGGCGTAATCGCCGCACCTCGGTTGCAGGGAGCGTTGCTGCCGGAGGGGGCGTTGCCGCCAACTCCTCCGGGACTTAAGGCTGCGATCGCGTTCATCATAGATGCGATTTGGGATGTTAGGGTATCGAGTTGGTGCTGCACATGAGGGTCAGTTTGAGGCCGAGGGGTATCGAGGGAAAAGACCACGGGTGAACATTCAACGCCGAAATCACCCCCTCCAGCTACCTCAGCACAAACCCCACTTTTCGGCTCGAGAATGGGGGTTTGCGAACGACCATTTTTCAGGATCGAACCCACGTTCTCGTTGGTGCCCGGAGGCATCGCACTGCTCGATGCATTATCCCGGGTGCATTGCTGCATCACCGGATGTTCCGTGCCATTACTTGGTTGTTTGGTCTCTACTCTCTGGCTTTGCAGCTGTTGAATCACCTCCCTCTGCTGCTGAACCAAATCCTGAAGGCTATTCATCTGCTCTTGCATCCTATCGAAATCGGCTTTGGCTATTGTCAACAACTGTTGGCTTCTGTGCTGCGCGGCTTGGGCCTCCATGGTTGCTTGCCTAGCCTGAATAACCTCTTGCTCGGCTACAAACCTAGCTTGCACCACCTGCCTTTCAGCTTGGGTGAGCGCTTCTCGGGTTTGGATGTTGTGGGCTACGAGCTCTTGGTTAGCTCGGGTTGCAACCTCTACGGCCTGCCTTCTAGCCATGTCGACTTCGTATGCGGCTTGCTGAACCACTGCAATTGCCTGCGCCTGTACTTCAGGATCATTGGTTACCTGCACGACATTCTGCTGAATCCGAACATCTTGATTGAGGGCATTTGTTTGGTGAAGGTGCAAAGATTGGTCTCTTGATTGAACCGTTTGATGCTGATGCAAATGGGCTTCGTGACTCCGTATGTTAGGGGATCCCCCTTGAGACGTATCAGTCTGCATGCCCGTTTCGGGCGACCCCAGAAAGCTACTAAGGTGCTGAGGGGAATTAGGTTGGCCAGAACTGTGGTTTAGGAGCGTTACCGCTTCACTAACCCTTGGATCGACCACCACTCCAGGCAATCCTGAGTTCATGAGCCCCGACGAGTCACTTTCGGAAACCCCTGGGCTACCCCTTGAAGACCTTGACCTCGCTTCAAAGTCTGCCATCTTACTCCTTCCTCACCTCCCTTCTTAAGGTAGGATCGTTTTTCTCGCACTCGATCTCCTCGAGCGCCTCGTGCAAGAACTTCCGCCAAGGAACCCCTTCCGGAGGCCAATCGTGACGGCCTGGCACGTAGATGTGGCAACTTGGACACCCTGCCGAGTTCGCCTCAACAATGGTAGGGCAATGATCGTCCACCAAAAAAGCCGAGGCCAAAGGAGCCAGTGATCTAATCGTAGCAACTTTTCCTCTGTGCCCGACTTTGTCTGGAGTGATAAGAACCTTGTCCAGCAAATCCTCGGAGCCCTGCGTGGAGTCAAGAGAGCGTAGCAAGCTTTGCAATGTGGCGTCGGCGTTCAAGTGGGATAACAGATAAATCTTGATTCCTTCAAATATCCGACGGCACTCGCGCAAAAACTGCACAGACTCAGGAGGAAGCTCGCGGCCCTGGATCGGCCTGGGTTGCGTCACGGATCTATCAAGACACTGGTGGAAGTCGATGAAGAGCGTCCCTGCTTCCGAAAGTCTCGGCCTCAAGATACGATTCTCCTCCACCCAATGTCCAGAATACCCAAAAACACGGACCAGCTCCGGCAGAAAGGCAAAAGTCGGCCTAAGTGCTTGAGGCGGAACCGGTGGCCTTGCTATACCTGATGAAGACGACGGTCGCGGAACAGGAGACCTCGATCTTGGTGATTCAGATTCGTCTAGGTCAACAAGAACAACTCCTGGACGCGATGACGAAGATGGCTCGCCCTCAGGCTGCTCAATATCCTCAGCCTCCGCGCGTTCACCTGTACCTGAATCTTCCGCTGCGCTCAAAGTCTGCAAAGAAGGATCAGTACGAGGTACGTTTTCCGGCCAAGGTTGGCGACCTGCAATGATATCGCGGAGGAAAGTAACACGTTGGCTCCCTCCTCTTCTACCACCTCGTTTCCAAGGGACGCTGCTCCAGAGCCACTCCGGGATGTCGTCTGGTCGCTGAATGGTGGCAAAAGTAAACGCGCTCTCAAGAGACCAAAAGGTATAAAGCCAATACGGCTGATAACCAATCGAAATAAGGATGTAGTCAGAAAGACGGTATCCAGCAATGAACCCTCGCACGAGTGAGACTTTTTGCTTTACTCTGCTAAAGGGTGCTTGAGCCAAACGGTTTTCGTTTAGCAAACGTTCACTGCCAGACGTGCCCTACTCTCTACGGCAACTTCTGTTACATGTGAGAAGCAGATAGACAAGCTCATGAACACATGCACTCATGGAACGAGGGAGTCTACCTAGAAGAGTCTCCTCGGAGCGTTGCCGCTTCTCGAGGAAACCACCTGGCATCAAAAGTACAACAGGCCAGTTTAGCCCATTATTCTTCTACTCTTTTCGCCATAATTGCGCCGCAAAGTTCACACTTTTTTCCCGTGCGACAGCCAACCGATCCGTATATTAACCTGTTTTGCGCTTCTTCCACGAACGTTTAGGGCAGAGGCCACATATCCTGTCGTGCAAACGGCAATGTTGTGTGTGTTTATTCCGTGCGTGGTTTCGGCGGTAGCTAGATTCTATGGATCTTCGTTCGGTCTGCGGAAAAAGTCGTGAACGGTTCCGTGTAAAGAAAGATTTTTGTTTTGTCTTGTAAGCCGACGCACCCCTGTGCGCACTTCTTTTCGCCATAATTGCGCGGCAAAGTTCACACTTTTTCACGTGCGACAGCCAACCGATCCATATAGCAACCTCTGTTGTGCTTCTTCGCCCAATGTCTACAGCGGAGGCAAGGAATCCTGTTTTGCAAAACGGTAATGTTATGAAAATTGTGGAGACGTTGCGTTTTTTCTTTGCGCGGTGCCTGCGGCAACAAAATCCTGTGGACAATGCTCTTCGTTCGGTCAGCAGAGAAAACGTGAATGGTTCCGTGTTAAGAGAGCTTTTTGTTTGCCTTGTAAGCCGACAAATCCCTTCCTACCTTTCTTGCCAAACATGCACGGCAAAGTTCTCGTTTTCTTACCGTCCGACAGCCAACCGAAGCGAACACCAAGCTCTTTTGCACTTCGTCCGCGAACGTTTGCAGCAGATTCCAGGTATCCTGTTTTGCAAAGGCGGCAACAATGTGGCAGTTGCGGGAGAAATGTGCATGTTTTCCGTGCATGGTGTTGCAGCAAGATCCTCTGAACGATGCTCCCTGGACCCTCCCAAAAACCTTCCCTCATGCTTGAGTCCCACCACCCACTCTTCTTTCGCAGAAATATATCGCCCAATGCCTAGTTCTTCTTCGCAAAATCTGCTGGCGAAGCCAGATTGGGATCCAACACATTCCAACTTGAACCGGTATGATTCGATGCATTGTGTTTGGGGTCTTCGCTGGTGTAATCTGTTAGTTTGGTGTAGTCGGTGTGCATTTTAAAGTTATGGTGTTGTAATAGTAATTCTTTGATGTATATATACCCGTTTCGTAGGGTGGCTTTATCGGTCACTGTTAAGCAATAATATTTTCTGTCCATCTCCCGTTCTACGAAGTCTGTCTCGCCGTTAGGTAACTCAATCTCATCAACATACATACCCGATGTTCTGTTAATCTTTCCTCCGATCTTGTTTTGATAATATAAAGCTTCCTTTAGAGTATCAAAGGCATAACTTTTATGGGATTTATTCGTGTTCTTCTCAAGTAGTCCGAAGTTAACATTAATTTCATTATTCTGATGTCTTCGGCTGGCTTGTCAGAGATGTCTGTCTTCCATAATTCCCCTGTGATCTTCCTATAATTCACCTTATATAGTCTGGATGGTTGCTTATAAAAAAGTATCTTACATTGCTTCGTAAAGTGCTTTAAAAACTTACCATATACTAAACAGTAGGACTTATTGAAAACTAATCTCCGCTTGGTGGGCTTGACCAAGCAGAGAGTGAGATCGTGAAAATCTTTAACATTGCCATTGAAGGGCTTCCATATATCAAACTGAGTGAATACCGGCATATCGGTGATCTTGTTAAACGTAGATGTGTAAGCTTTTCTTACATCTATCTCCGTGGTCGCTTCTGGGGTATAAAAGCATTTGTCATCTTTGTCGGTCTTGGGGTTATATAAATAATACTGTCTATTTATTTCACCCGTTGGGGGGATTGTGCGACACTCGTTGAAGATTTCAACGTCCACCTCGTTGTAATATGACTTATGAGTTGCCTTGAAGAGAGGTGTTAAAATTAAACATCGCTTTGGACATCTTATTGTAGATCTGCTCCGTTCTCACGCAGATGGAACCATCAATAGAATTATTTACACAATTCTGGGTTTTAACTTTGTATTTGATAACTTTATTTTTGATCTTAAACTTAAAATTAAGTTCAGATATGCACCCCGCGCTGAACCTAACCTGTGGTTCATATCCTGCTTGTTTGCTAAGATAAAACAAATGCGACAGATCGTAGCCATTATATACCAATGTGTATTCGCTGTGTTCTGTGTATTTGCGGATGTCGTCTAGGGATGTGATCATTTTACACTCCACTGGCTCTTCCTTCTCGTTAAGGTGATGATCTGAAGATGCCTTAACAGAAATGTTATAATTACTGCTTTTGGGTATCATCTGCCGTAACATTTTCACATTATCAGTTGCCGTATAGATGTGACTGTTCTTCTCTATAGCGTATAAGGCTGGGATGTGATGATTTCTCTTTATTAAGTCGCGCTTGTAAATGAGAGTATCAAGGACATCATATATTCTCACTTGCAAGTTAAAATGTTCAAATACCTTTGTCATGTCTACTATTGACGCCCCTTTTGTTTCAAAATCTTCATCTGTCTTATTTATAATTGTTAGGATAGCTTCTTTGGTGAGTTTGTTCTTCTCTCTCTTGTGATCTCCCATAAGAGTATCCTTATTACAATCCGTCAAAGTGTTGAACCAACACTCGTTCTTAACATAATGTTCTACTTTAATGGCTTCCTTAAAGGTCTCATACTGTGGATCTAAGGGTGTCTGAATATATCTGTGATACATACTGACATTCTCTGTGTTTGTTAGATCTTCGTCTTGTGGCTTGAAAGCATCGGCGTTATCTACCCTTTCGGCGTAATTAAATTTAATGCAAGCAATGTATCCTTCGGCATAACCGACATCGGCTTTAAAACTGTCATCTGTCATTTATAACATCTTGAGCCTATGAAATGTTTTTGTGTCGGGCTTCTCGTCTCTAAATATTCGTCTCCCCGCTAGGTTTTCAACCCACGGTGTTGTGGCTACATTGGCTGATAGATCACGCATATAAATAGGAACGTATGCCCTACCCCTTTGTCTCTGAAGGATACTGATAATGCTTGGTGTGATTCTGTCTTCAGTTGGTATAAATGGACATTGATTGAATATTTTTTTGGTTTTCTTGGGTTGGTTCTTCCTGTTCTTTTGTTGTCTTCTTTTGTTTGTGCCAT